TTGCAGGTGAGAGGGAAGTGAGTTTTCCATCCTGTGACATTTCTGAAAGTCCCAGTCCGGTTTTTGCGCAGTGAAAAGGAAACCAGGATCTTAAGTGAAGGGAGGCTTGGAAATAGCCCAGAGACAGGTGACCACAGCACTCGTCAAAAGGCTCAAACTGTGTTTTTGTGCATGAGTGCCTTGACTGCATAATGGTTGAAGACTGTGATCTGTCTGGTTTGTACTGATCTTGAGTTGTAGGGCTCTGGAAAGCAGCTCTTGGCAAATACTTTGTCGAAACTGAAGCATGTTACGCCAGTTTTCTGTGTTTGAAAAACTGGCATTTTGTTGAAACACTGTTTTGTCAAAAATAGTACTCATTAAATTGTCTGCTGTATTGTTGTGAATTCTGTTAATTCAGTGGGGGGGGAAAAAAAATCTACTGATGGAAGGAGAGCACCAGAAAAGGTTGGTTTAGGGCTAGATCATTGTGCCTGGTGAAATTTGGTGATAATTCCTTAATTTCCTCAGCAAAAATCCCTGAGGTTCTTTCTACCCCAAAAATTAGGCATCTAGCTCAGTGTGAAAACTTAGCAAATTCTCTGATCACTAAGGAAATAATAATTACTTGATAACATGCTGCTCTGAACTTCATAGTGTAAAGTTAAATATGTATCCCTGTTTTTTTTTCTGGTGAGTCACCAAGTATTTTTGTATTTTTTATATTTATTCACAATTAGGTGGATGTTTTGGTCATTGCTAATCTTTTAATTGTTTGGTGCCATTAAGTATCATGGCCTGTATTTGATCTATTCTGCTACTGCTGGGTCATGTTCTGATCACATTCCTAGTAAGAAATTCCCGTAAATGATGGGGAACCAAGATGTCTCCTGCTGACCATTGCCCCATCGAGCAGCACATGGAGGTGGTCATGGAATGACAGCAGAGGTCTCATCAAGTCTTTTTGGAAATACAGACGTCTTCGTATAATCACTTTAAAGACTGATTTACAAGGTTTTGTTTCATTTCCTTCTAGTCCTTTCCCTTCACTTTTTATTGCTGTTTACTGTGATTTGTGCTCTTTTGCTGCATTCGCTTTTGACACCTTTGAGGATAAGCTCAGGTTTTACTAGTACTTCTGATTTTATGGAGGCTGAAGTTAGTTTTAGGGGATGAAACATGTAATAAAGGAAGTATCTTCTGTCTGTCCTTGTTCTTGACCATGGAAATGGGCATACCAAGCTGACTGCAGTGGGAGGAGTGTGTTTGCTGGGGATTGTCCCCAGCAAACCCATGGGGCAGGTGTTGACTTTGCTTTGACTCAATACAGGATTTAATGGTTTTGATATGTGCATGTTATCACAACTTAGGTGGAGCAATAATTGACTCTGAATGTCAGATTTTGTCCTCTAAAGCGGTGACGTCTTGATCTGGCTCTTTTTAAGTGGTATTTTGTTTTCAGTGTGATGTGGAGTGCTTGCTCAGGAGGTTTCACATATGTAACCTGGAGCAAGGTGCCTTTTTGACTCTGATAACTGTAGCAGGAACGTGATTCTGACAGATAAGTGTTGGTCTTGAATTTTTCCATTTTTTTTTTTTTTTAACAGACTCAGAACTTATTAGCCTTGCCAACACCTGCAAGTCTTTGCTGCTTCCTTTGGTAGATATCCTGATTTTTGAATGTGTGGAAAATGCAGTAAGTCATCCTACTTTTTAATTCTAATATACTTATATTTTGGGATATATTTCAAACCAATGATAACAGTGGGTGTTTTAGGATTATTGTTGTGTTGTCTGCTTTGCCACTTCTAAGTTGACTTGATATTTTAAAATTTTGGGAAGGTAGTGATATTTTAGGAGATTGCTTTATTAGAGAAATGGAAAATGAGATGTGAAATCTGTTGCCTTACATTTCAAAAGTCAACAAAACTGCGTAATATGTACTTTTTTCCCCCCTAAACTACCCTTCAATGGGCATTTACCAGGACAATTAATTATGTGATAATTTCAAAGCAAAATGTGAAATTTGTCTTGGAAATAGTTTCACATTAGAGGATTTTAATAAATATTTATAGCAGAATAGTGTAGTAATGTTGGTTGTGTGAAGAAAACACATGTTAGTAATAAAATACCACCCATCAGAAATACTGTTCTATCATGTCATTGTTCCCCAGAGAGATGACTAGTTGAAAAATGGTTTTTAAAAAATAAGCTTTGAACAGAGAAGATGCTTTTATGGGTGATACAGAACACATTCTTCAAAAAAGGCACGTCATTAAAAATGGTACCAGACATTAGGAACATCTGTTGTGTGAAAAAGGAAATTTGGGAAAATCCAAATAATAATGCTCAATGTATAGGCTTTACATAGTGCTTTTTCTCACTTGTTCTCAAAATACTTTGCGAAGGGGAAGAACAACTACCCATGTTAAACTTCATTTTCTAAAATCCAGCCACACCAGTTTTCATCTGGCATTTAAATTCGCCTTGCTCATGCTGTGCCATTAATTTTCCGTGGGAGGAAATCTGTCCCAAGGAGTGAAATACAAGCAGGAAAGCATGTCCTTCCATTTCGGGCAGCATTCCTGTGTGTGAATAAAAGCAGGGTGCCAAGCTGACAGCCGTGGCATGTGGAGCCAGGGAGCTGCCATTGCCCAGGCAGCTGGCGTGGAAGCTGCCCTGGCTTTGTGTCAGCCTGTCCCGGGCACATCCTGGTGCCAGGCGCCAGGGATGTGCCGCCTCTGTTCCAGCTTTGACACCTCGCAGGGACCGCCGGAGCCGCCAGAGCTGAGAACCGCTTGTGAGCCCAGGCAGGAGGAGGCACCTGTTCCTTGGCACTGGAATGAGCCCCCAGTTCATCCCTGGGGTGTGCCCTTAAGTAGCCACCAGGCTCCTCAGTGCTAGCAGAGTGGGCTGGAGCTGGGGGCCAAGGCATGGGATGTGCTAGATTGCAGCTAATACTGAAGTTGGTGGTTTTCAGCAATGCTGCTGGACTGCAGACAGCTGCATTGCACCACGCTGGAGGAAGAGGGTTGTCACAAAAGATGCACCTTCCTTGGAGCCATCCAGATGGGCTGGTACAAAGATACTGCTTCTCTAAAAAAAAAATCAGGTATCATCACCTCAATCAATAATTAATTGTACAGCTACCAAATGAGCCGGTTGCCCAAGTGAGTGCATACTGTGGAGCCCCTGTCTTGCAGGGGTTGTGTTGCAACACCTAGAGACACTGAACAGTTTGTCAAACTGTTTTTCTTGCTGAAATCCCTTTCAGAGGAGATGATGATTTCCTTTCTTCTCGTCTGTGTGTGTGTGTAGGTCTCTTAAAAGAAAAGAGCAGGTTAGAGAAACAGCTGTCAGGAATGATGTAGTTGATTTTGCTTTAGGGCAAGCTGGTAGACCTTTTGGGCCCCTTTTATCCTTTTTCCTGTAGCTGTAGGTGACCCTAGTAACATATGCATGTGTATTTATCTGTTCTCTCCAGCCTGCTGCATTTTTTTCAGCAAAGTCTTTGCTAGTTGAAAGGAGCAGTCCCTTTAAACTCAGCAGCTTTTGGAATCTGTCGGTATAAAAAGACATTGTTTGGTGTGCCTCCTCAAAGATTCCTCCTTAATCCTGATTTTGTGTACTCATCCCTTGGTTGAGCCTTCCTGTCCAGAGGAATTTGAGTTGATTCCCACTCCTTCACAAATGCATGCAGGACAATATGTCAGACTTTCTTGCCTTTTAAGCAATCTGATCAGTTCTGACACTTTCCACCTCCATTAAAGAATCCATGTGGTAGTTGAGAACACCCATTAGTGTGAACCAACTCCTGAAACCCCTGAAAGTATTTGCTTTGCTCTGCCATTTAACTGTTTACAAAGCCTAGGGCTTTCCTTCGGATACACATTCAATAGAAGGGAGCAGAGTATTTTATTTTTTTTTTTTTCATTGCAGTGTAAATGTGGTTTTGTTGGCTGTGTAGTAGGCAACATGCTGACTTTCATGAGGTTACCCCAATCAAGGACGAATTTGACCAGAAAGTGATACTTTGAGAGGATACAGACAGTCAGAATTTTGGTATAACATTTGGTTTAATGCACAATTTTTAAAAATCAAGGAAGCAGCTCTCACACAGGGCTATTACTCAAACCATATCCAAGTCATTTCACTTACTGCTGATCCTTCCCAGTTTTGCCTTCATAACTCCACATGTCCAGGCCCAGGCAATGAATTGCTTAGACATCAATAAAAGTTCCTTGTTTTCTTCTGAAGTGGGTCCTGGAGTTTGTGCTAGTTTTAATGAAGACTTGTCATCTCCAAGGATATTATTGTATCCTCTAATCTCAAGGTATTACTGTACCCTGAATTTAAGGGCAAAAGAATGTAGAATTCCAAAAGCCTTATGTCTCTGGATCAGGCTTTAATTTCTTTTTAGACAGAAAGTGTGATTTCTGGGGAAAGGGACTTGCTAGTTAGTAAGTCTGAAAAGATCTTAACAGTTCCAGTAATTACTCGTTTCATCAATCCATCTATATTTAAAGTGAGCTAAACCGAGTTCTTTCCTATAGTGTCTACTTCAAATAATGCTGCTTTACATTTGGAGAGCCAAATAAGGAAACAGAGCATAATCTTACAGGAGTTTCATTCCCTTTCATTTTGTATGGCTCAGACTTGCTGTAACAAGAGCACTTCTTTCTATGAAACCTTTTTAACATATTCGACTAAACAAACTATCTCCTAAAGAAAGTAGGAGCTTTTTTTTTGTGTTTGTGTGTGTGTACGCTTTGCTCTAGCCTTGGCTCTCGAGGACATTTCTGCGTTTGTCGATGTACTAAATGAGCGATGCATTTTGGACAGCTTCTGTGTTCTGATTTGTTTTCTTGTGCTTTTTTTGTGTCCCACTCTTCCCCCTCCCCTTCTTCCCCTTTTCATTTGTCTAGGGGAAAAGAAAAAAGCTCCTCCAGTGTTGTTTCCTGCAAAGACCATTCTTAAGAGCTCGTTGGACAGCGCAGGACTCTTGAAGTGATAGCTAATTGGTGAAAGAAAGGCCTTGATTGTCTTGAGGGAGCTGGAAAGTGCTGCGTGTGCTGCTGAAAGGGACTAGGAAGAAGGTGCCTGGTTTCGCTGAGCAGCTGCTGCTGGAGATGTTTGGAGATTACATCAGCATTGGAAAAGAGGGGCCAAAAAAAAAAAAGTCCAACTTCACAGAGATCGAGTTTATGGAGGTTTTTTTTCCCCCTTCCAAAGGTCTTCTGACAATACTGTCATTGTCAATATAAGAGTTGTTAATTCTTTATGAATAGCACATGGGGCCTCTTGACTAAATAGTACATTACATGTCCCAAATCTGTCAGCTGGACTCTTCTCTCACATGCTAGTGAGATCACTTTGATTGGAATGTTAGAGGAATTGCTGGGCTGGCCGTGCAGAACTGAATACTGCATTATATAATTAGATCTCCCAGAGTTGTTTTTTTTTTTGCATTACCTCATTATTCTAGCTTAAATATGGAATCAGTCCTTTTGATGGTTTTACTGGTTGTAATTATATTAATACGATTCATTTTGTGGTCCTGTCTTAGTGCTTATATAGATTATAAACTGTCCCAAAGGTTTCCTGACACAAAAAAAGAGGACTGAGAGACTTCAAAAGGTTCATTCAGGTTTGAATTGACAATGGGGAGAGCTGGGTAAGGTAAATGGAGCTAGAGCAGCTTTTACCTTGGGATCTGATGAGAGAGAAATGACCTGTTGAGACTGCAGCTGAGTGAAGATCCTTCAGAAAGCCTCATGCTGACAACTGATTGAGTCAGATGACTTCCTGTCCAACTTGGGCATGAATTTGCTGTTGGGAACAGACTTGTGGACTTCTGCCAATTAAATGATGTGGATAATCTGGAAGGAACCCTCCTGCTGGGCAGTCCAAGAGTGCTCAATGTCCACATGCCACGCTGTGGGCTGGCAGGAGTAGATTTTTACCTGACTGGTTGATTTGTTACCAAATTACTCATGGCTCTTCCCAGCCAGTCAGATCTAAAACTGAATGAATGATTTTAGCTGACCATAACCTGCCAAATATTCACATTTCTTAGCAACTGATGTATATGAGTACCAGTACAAGGTGGATACCACTGGAATAATCTCTTCCATGGAAGACAGATTTGTGTCTCAGGGATTGTCTGATGGACCCTGGCTGTGCTTCAGCACGAACAACAGGCGGGGTGACACCACAAGTGAGTTTTGATACCAAAGCCCTGCAAGTGACCTTCATGTCTAGCCTGAAACAAGCACCCTACTAGGACACTGGAGGATTTGACTACTTGCCCAAGGACAAAGTGACTTGGGATTTCTTGGTTAATTTACCTGGCAAAAGGAAGTAATTTTTTTCAAATTAGTTGTCTTCTTTAAAATAGGTGTTGTATTAAGTCAAACAACCTAAATCTTACTGAAACTCAGTGTAATACTGTCTTTTAAGAACTGAATTTTTCTACAGTAAAGATAGGAAAATTGTATCACCTTGCCCAAGAAATGCACTATCCTTGGCCTAGTCACTCTTTAAAAAAAGTTTTTTTAAAAATCCTTTTTTTTTTGTTTCATCATTTTCTATCTCATGTGAAAGAGAAGGTTACCACTTCATATACTTATTTTTATATCTCTTGGTAGCTCACATAATGATATCAGAGTCCAGCTAGGTAAAAGCCTACATTATTCCCATACAGTTTCTGGCCCATTCATGACTCACACACTCCTACTCCTACAGGCTTGTCATTAGTAACTGCTCATCAGCCCTTGTAATGTTGTCTTTTAGAGCCTCCTAAAAGTCAGACATGAGAGCTGGTATGTGCTTAGGCAGGGAAGCAGGGTAAATGTCAGGTCAATTGATTTCAGCATCAGATTTTATTTATGGTGGATGACCAATCTACAAAACAGCCTGTAATGCTTGAAGGTGCATGTCATGGGCTTGAAATCCTGCCAGACAGCAATAAATTATATGCAGATGTAACTAACTCCTTGTCTGTTTCTCTGATTCTTAATTTTAATGATAGTTCTGTCCTTTTTTTGTTTTCCCAACCCCAGCAAACCACAAAAGGAAAGTGAAATGTTGTCCACTTGATGTGCAGACATACCTTTTATAATGAGTAACTGGCAAAATAGTGACAGTGATCCATTTTTCTTCTTTCAGTTAATCATCACTATTCTGAGCTGTTGTGTGCAAAACAAAGCTTGTGGAAAAATTGATAGTGCCTTTAAGAAATAAATCTTCTAATTCTTTATTTCAGTCCTATTGAAATTGCATTTGACAGTGTACTGTTTGTATTAATTGTTTAAAAGTGTGGATGTAATGAGAAGACATACAGGTGAAGTTGTGGTTTACTGCCTTTAACGTTTGGGGATATTGGAACTGACACCAGTGCGGAATTCACAACTTTCATTTTTTTATCCCTGCAGGGCAGCATTTCAAGTTTTCCCTGTAAATCAGAGCTTGTAGTCTTGTTATGGACCATACCCTCTGGACTGGATCCCTTGGTATTTATGTACCTAAAACATTTGATTTGGACCTTTTTTTAGTCACGTGAGTTGCACTCTGATTATAAGAGTGGTCTGGCCAAATAATATTTGGCATAATATTGCTCTGTGTCCTACAATGGTAAAACTGGCTGTAAAACCAAGCAGTTTGTTAGAACATCCATGTTTTGAGACACATTTAATTAACTTAATAATCATAAAAATTTTGACTGAAGAGTTAATTTAGATCTTGTTGTCTACTAAAGTTCTTATGCATGCAAAGTGGTTTTAACAGCAACTGGGTTAATTTCTCATTGCATTCATGTTGTTGTTATCCAATCCTGCAGGATGTGGGAAGCCATGCTGTTTATCCTGCAATACAAAATTAGGACTATCACACTTTCAGGAGTACAAAATATAAAGGAGATTGAGATCTTCCTCTTTGCCTCCATAGGTATTTTCCCTCTCTCTTTTCATGGAGATAAGAAAAATCTAAGCCCCTTAAATGTGATATGATGTGAAAGTCTCCACTAGTACTTCCTGGTATTTCCTATGGAGCAGTGATATTTAGATATTTAAAATATATTTATATCCTCTTGATTTTTTTTTTGCATTTAAGGATGTATTTAAAATTAAACAAGTGCTTAATGTCAATTTTGAACTGTGGACAGAGTTAATGAAGATTAGCCCCCTTTCAAGACATGAAGTGGAGCCCCCTTTCAAGACATGAAACAAAGGTGTGTGTAAAGAAAGAGAAAAATAAAAGTGAAATATGGTGATATTAATATCCTTGCTAATGTAAAATCATTTGTATTTTTATATATTGATTAAAATCTACTGTATATAAATATATTTGGTACTAATTTATATAATTTACATGCTAAGCAGTGGCCAAAATTAACATGTAACCTACTGAGAAGAAACCCCACTCTTTGCCTGAAGACATTATTGTAAAGAACCTCTAAGATGGGGGGAGATATCTATATCTATATCTAATCTATATCTGTCTATATCTATATCTATATGAATATCTAGATTAAATAGATCCTATTTATACATCTAAACCAAAAATAAAACTGTATGACATTTGGATGCAAAACTGGTCTGTGTTAGGACTGTGCTAATTTATGGTGACCTTTTTTGTGGTACCAATGGTACCAATAAAACCAAATTTACTCCCAAAACAAATAGCCATTTTCAAGTTCTACAACTGACACTTTTTTTTTTTTTTTTTTTTTTTTTTTTTTTTTTTTTTTAAACCAGGGATAAAATCTCTTCTGAGCTGTAAAAACTCAATTGCTTAGAAATATCCCTATCACCTGCAAATGCAATTCCCATCCCACATCATGTAACGTGCAAAAAGCTGGCATTTTACGGACTCCGTTATGGTATGGAGAACTAATTACAACAACTCACAGTCATCTGAACATATCATTATTTATTGATTAAAATAATGCCACGATTTCACTTTGCACTGGTACCCACTTAAACAATTCCTGTCAAACCATGTAAACCGGAGTGCTGAACAACTCCCTTAAACGGATCTGGCGATGCAACAGGTGGCCTAATTACTTTAGGTAGGTCCATTACAGCCAAATTCGGGGAGGAGAAGCTGAAGACACAAGTAGGGCTACGACTGATTCTTGCAGAGGGAATCTGGACAGCTGGGGGCCCAGTCCCCAGCTGTTTGCCATGAACTGCCTCCCCATAAACTGGCGCTCGGGGGAAATCTCACAACGCGCGTTCCTGTTCTGTGTCACAGCCCTGGAGAGTGGGGAAGTGTTGAGAGGGTCACGCTGTCAGGATTCACATAGGCACTAAATTGTTGGGCAATTAAATGGCAGAAGTGCTGTCTTGGTTGGTTATCAGGGACAGGGAGTTACTCTGGAAATGCGGTTGGGTTGTGCTTGGTTGTCACCAAAGCGGGTGACCTGATAGGGTGGCCCTTTCACTGTGGGCAGGGCTTGTAACAGCATCTACTGCTGAGGCTGCCAGGCACTTCGAGCCCTTAAGGCCTGTTTTCAGCTGTTCACAACTTTGTCAAAGTAGCTTTTCAAAGTAAATTTTTCCATGTTTCATTTGGTGTCTGCCTCCGTCTGAATTCTCTTCAGAAGGTTCCAGCCAGAACAGTTTAATGTCTTCCAAGAACAAGACTAGAAAAAAATACATTGTTTTTCCCATATTACAAAAATGTTGGATTTTTTTTTTTTTTTTTCTGAAAAGATGTAGTTGTCCCACTCTGGGAGATAATTTTTACTCAGCCCTGTCAGGGATATGTAACTTTTGTTCACATCAAGAAAATCATGTAGCTACCTACCACAGATTCAAGGGGTACAAGATCAGATATGATGTGAGGAAATGAGGATAAGGAAACGGTCAGGGAAATAAAAGAAATTATGGTGAGGTTTTAGCTAAAGAGGATAAGTGGGCCATGCATAGTTAATGAAAGGCAAGCTGGACTGCACCACGTAGGAGAGAGAACTGGCTCCAGGAGTGAGAGAGAGTGGCGACACTGATGAAATTAGGATGGTTTGGACTATCAGCAGACAGGACAAAATGGAGTTGGAAATATATGACCTACAACATTCTATGATTCTGTGACTCAGGAGGCTAAGACTTATTTAGCAAACTGCTTTGAACTTGGAATAAAGAGTCCAGGGAACTGTCAAAGGGATAAGAACTGGATAAAACATTTGCTGGATCACTATCCCTTTAGAATATTGGTATAAATCCTGGAACCTAAGTAACATCCTTTTTTTTGGCTGTCAGCAAATTTCTGGTGGAGCATTGCAGGCTGAGCATTTACTGGGCTGTTTTAACCGGATGTGACAAAGTTAATACATTAAGAAAGTAATGGAATCAAGGATTTATATGCAATTTTTGCTCTGTTCACTGAGTATCATGACAGCTTCTTTTGCTCATTTGTTGCACAGGACAAGGTGCTCTGGTACTGAAGCTTGCAGGAGCAATGCTTTAAACATCCCAGAAACTGAGTGATAGTCTATGAAATGCAGAGCTCCAGGAAGACTCAAGTTTTGAGTGCAGTGATGAGGAAATTAATTCTTTGTCAGTCATGGAGTTCTAAGTGAAAACATGTAGAGATACTTATTCCTCGCTTTGTGGCTGTCTACCTGAAGATCCTGGGCCTAATTTGCTCATTTGC